GTGTTCCAGTTGCTTGGCTTTTATATACGTAGATTATTGATTGATTGATTGATTTCAGTGAGAGAAAGGGAGAGGGAGAGAGAGAAACATCAGTGATGAGAGGGAATCATTGATAGGCTACCTCCTGCAAGACCACATACTGGGGATTGAGCCCAAAACCTGAGCATGTGCACTCACCAGAAATTGATGACCTCCCAGTTCATATATTGATGTTCAACCACTGAGCAACACTGGCCATGCAGAAGGGAACATTTCATTTTATTTTATTTATTTTTTTTTTGTTGTTGTTGTTTTGTGTTTTTTAAAAAATATATATTTTATTTTTTTACAGAGAGGAAGAGAGGGGGATAGAGAGCTAGAAGCATCGATGAGAGAATCATCGATCAGCCGCCTCCTGCACACCCCCCACTGGGGATGTGCCCGCAACCAAGGTACATGCCCTTGAACGGAATCGAACCTGGGACCTTTCAGTCCGCAGGCCGACTCTATCCAATGAGTCAAACCGGTTTCGGCAGAAGGGAACATTTTAAACAGTAATCAGATAGGTACTCTGCTATTGCTTCTTATCTATATTCCTTTGTATCTTGCTCAGATTGAATTGTTGGCAGCTACAGATGAGCAGCAGAGTGAATGAAAGGAGTTGGGGCCTAGAAGTGCAGTAGGTGAAAATGAAGGGGGTTTTAGCCAGGTAGGGTCTGGAAGAAAGAGCTGCGTACTCTGGGGTTGGAAGTAAGCATAACCTTCCTTCCCTACACCCCACACTGCAGTGTGGTCTCCAGAAAATATATCCGTCACTGCAAGTCCAATAGGGCCTTGCCTTATAAAAGAAATGGGTGACCAACACCTTCTCATTGTCCCTTCTGCTTTCCCTAGATATGTGCAGGTGAAATTTGTCTGTAGTCGGACCCAGTCAAATAGGAAGAAAACAACAGACACGGACATGTGCCCAGCATACTTGCTCCTGCAGTACAATGAGAAGCTAGATAGACTGCTTATCAGTGAACTCAACACCCAGCATATACATGTTGACTCCAAAACTGCGGGTCCCGAAGGAGACACTGCTGAATTTCAAAAGGCAGTGCATCTGCAGAAACCTGAGCCTGAGCAGCCCACATTTAAAAAAGACCTTGCCAGAGCTGACAAGCCCCCGGTTGAACCTTCTTTTTGCTTAGGTAAGATCCAAGCCGCCTCAAAGCCAGAGCAGGAGGGTATCACTCCTTCTGACCTGGCCACGATCGCAAAAGTGATGAAGAACTTCCTTAAGGTGGATGAGGGTTCCATGGCCTCCCTCAGTGTAGGCAACAGCCAAGACCTGGACCGGCTCAGCTTTCAGAGCAGCAAGATGAGCAAACTGTTCGTCCGCTTCCCGGAGAACCTCTTGCTGCACCGGGTGGAGAATGCCCAGGGCCACATCCTCTACGCTTTCTTGGTGGAGAACAAGGAGCGAGAGAGTCGGGTGGTACACTTTGCCGTACTCGGGGCCGAGACAGCCACATCTGTGGCCAAGATGCTGGGTATCTTCACAGAGTTCAACTCCGATTGGCCCAGGATCAAGGTGATCTTTGTGGACCCGTCCTACCCTTACCGAGCCATCCTGCAGGAAATCTTCCCTGCCGCCCGCATTCTCCTCTCCATCTACCACACAACCCGACTCTTAGAGAAGAAGTTGCATCGTAGTTCAGCAAAATCATCCTTTAAAAGTCGCATGAAGGAAGCCCTGCGGGAGGCTGTGTTTGTCACCTCGGATGCCAGCCTGCAGAATCTCTGTCAGATGTCCCAAACACTACTGGATGAGGAGCTCTTCAGCTTCCTGCGGGCCCACTGGTTCTCCTGTGAACTGCTGTGGTACATGCACGTCAGGAAGGGCCTGCATGCGTGTAGCACCTACATGGACAGCCTGGACATCGTCACCAGCAAGGTGTCAAGTCTCTTCAGGAAGCAGCAGTCCCTGCTGGACTGCATCCTCCACTTTGTGGATTACATCGACTTCTTTAATACCAAAGGTGTGAAAAACTTGCCCACAGCTCCTCCCAAGTTAAAGAAAGCCCGGCCGGCAAGCATGTTGCCAAAGTCCAAGAAGCCTTTTGGAATCCGTGGCGGGAGCCTCGCCAGGCTCCCCATGAAAGAGACAAAGCCATACCCATTGCAGGTGCAGTTGGAGCAGCAGCCCTCCCGAGGTGGCATGCTAGACACCTTGCACCAGAGTGGCTTCGAGCTGGCCTACAAGCTGTGCTACAATGAATGGGAGGTGGTACAGAACTCGACCCACCTGATGGACGTGGCTGGCTCCTCAGTGGACATTAAGCTGCTGGAGGACTCTCACCAGGTTAGCAAAGACGGCTGTAGGTGCAGCTGTTTCTTTCAGCAACGGTACCACCTGCCGTGCCGACACGTTTTGGCCCTGCTTCACAACAACCAGAAGCCAGTGGGTGAAACCATGGTTTGCCGCCGGTGGCAAAAGAGGTACCAGCACCTCCTTGGGCCTAGCGGGGAGTTCCGGGACCCTGCTGTGGTCCCAAACCCAGGCCAGCCTGGGAAGCAAGGAAGGAAGGACATGATCCGGGACCTAAGCAGGGAACTAACAAACCTGCTCATGCAGAGTGAGGGGCCAGAGCTGGAGGAGCGCATTTCCGCCTTGCGCAGCATTGTGGACATCTGGGCAGATCCTTACCAGCCATCTGCACCCACCCAGCAGCCAGCGGACTTCAAGGATGTGGGCCGCCTCCCTTTTCTCTGGGGAAAGCAGGAGGAAGGGGAGGGATTCCTTGCTGGAGCCACGATACACGATTAAAGCACTTGCTCTGGTGCATTGAACCACAAACCCCTCTCCTCGGAAGACTGAGAGCTCACAGTGGGCGGGTCATGCTAGGGGTCAGCATTTTAACCAATACCTTCCTGGGTGGGGCTAGGAAGATTGTTACAATAGAGAGAAGAGGATCCCACTGTGAAATGTCCTTTGCATTCCCCCCTTTTTGCCCTACCTTTGGCATTCTTTGGGAGGCCCATTCATTGTTTAAGGCCAAAGTTGTCTCCATGTTGAAAGGTCATCCCTCTGTCTCCCCCAGTCCCTGAGAACAGATCTTATTCACTTTACAGAGATGAACCTCATGACCCAGGATAAGGTGAGATGAAATGGACCCGGGAAAAGGGCTTGTTTTCAGGGACAAAGGGAAGGAGGGTGATCCTTGATTATTGCTGCTTTTTACAAAGAATCTGTTCCATGTGTCTATTTTCATATTAAAGGTTTTTGGTTTTGTTTGGGTTTTTTTTAATAAAATCAAATAAGGGAAATGTGTGTTGCTTGAATAGGGAAGGAATTGAGTAGGGGATGTGAAGCAAAACAACTTGATGCCTCAAATTCAGAGACTTAATCCACCACTTCATCCTCTTCCTACCAGCCAAACCTTCCATTGACTTCAGGCTGCCTCATATCCCAACAGGATGAGGCCAAATAGGGAGGGAAGAAACTGGAATCTTTTTATTTTGTTTTAAAAAAAAAATTTTATTTTTTAAAATATATTTTATTGATTTTTTACAGAGAGGAAGGGAGAGGGAGAGAGAGTTAGAAACGTTGATGAGAGAGCACACCCCTCACTGGGGATGTGCCTGCAACCAATGTACATGCCCTTGACCGGAATCGAGCCTGGGACCTTTCAGTCTGCAGACCGACACTCTACCACTGAGCCAAACTGGTTTCGGCTATTTTATTTTATTTTTAAATATATTTTTATTGATTTCATAAAGGGAGAGAGAGATAGATGAATCAATGATGAGGGAGAGTCATTGATTGGCTGCTTCCTGCATGCTCCACACTGGGGATAGAGCCTGCAACCGGTTCATAGGTCCACGCTCAACCATTAGCCACGCCAGCCGGGTGAAACTTATAACCTACTTACACAATAATGTTGGGCAAGTCATTTAACCTCTTATAATCAGTTGCCCGCAGCTTGCAGGAAGACTGTAGGAAAGTTCCTAGTTTCTTTGATCTGGGTTTCCTCACCTGCAAAAGTCAGTGTTGGGCTCTGCAAGTTTGGCTCGGTGGGTAGAGTGTCAGCCTGCGGACTGGAGGTTGCTGGGTTCGATTCCGGTCAAGGGCACATGCCTGGGTTGAGGGCTCAGTCCCCAGTGTGTGTGTAGGAGGGAGGTGGGGAGTTGTGCAGGAGGCAGCCGATGAACTTATCTCTCATCATTGATGTTTCTCTCTCTCCCTCTCTTCCTCTCCGAAACCATAAAAAATATATATATATATTTTAATCAGCGTTGGCCTAGTTTCCCCTCTAGATTTATATAAATGGAACATTTTAGATAGAGCGTTGGCCTGCGGACTGAAAGGTCCCAGGTTCGATTCCGGTCAAGGGCATGAACCTTGGTTGTGGGCACATCCCCAGTAGGGGGTGTGCAAGAGGCAGCTGATCGATGATTCTCTCCCATTGATGTTTCTAACTCTCTATCCCTCTCTCTTCCTCTCTGTAAAAAATCAATAAAATATATATATATATTTTTAATTAAAATAAATGGAACATTTTCACCACAGTTACAAGGATCAACACTGACTTTTGTTGCTGCTAGTTTGTAATCTTAATCCCCTAGAGCGTGGTAGCCAACCATCTTCAGGGGAACTGAGGTCAAAAGATGGCAGTCCGTCTTGGTTCTTGCACTAGTTCACCATGACCTTAACCATTCACAGCTTCATTTTGGATCTCTCTTTCTGTAAAATCCGGGAGGGGTTGGCTGGGCAATACCAAGCTCTCTCAAGATCTGGGTTTTCTCAAATCCAAGGGCTGGAATCTTAACCCTTGACCTCGAGGCAGAACTTGAAACCTGGGCCTCAGTTTCCCCCAAGGTAGAAGACTCCATACAACTACATGTGCACCCTTTCCTACCGCCCCCCCCCCCCCCCCCCCCCCCCCACACACACACACTCAGGGCCTTTGGAATTTGACTGGAAAAGAAGAAAACTCTTTAAAAAGAAAAAAAAGAAAAAAAAATTCTTGAAACGCTACTATTTATTTTCCATTTCATTTTTGGCCGCTGAGGGAGTTTCCATAGTAACACGTCCTTCTAGTTGGTTCCACGGATAGGAGTTTCCAGAGTTCCAGGTTCAGGTCTCAGACTCTCCTGGATGCAAATATTCTCAGGCTTCTATTGGTTACCGCCAGCCGAGCCCCCTCGTAACCATGGTAACAGCACCGCCCACAAGTTGCCGGGCTACGATTGGTCCGAGCTCGAGAGCCCTAACGTGAGGCCCTCAGGCCATTGGCCTAAGTCACAGGAAACTGGCGCCGCGGTTGGTGAGTCTAGAGGTCCGTCAGAGCCAGAGACTGGGTCAAATAGGGAGAAATGGCGACTGAGCCAGCCTGTGGGTGAGTGGTTTCGGAAGGGGTGGAGGTATAAGGCAACTGCTTACGGTCGGCCTGGACACAGCTCCCAGGGGGGTGGGAGGTGGACGTCTCTTCTGGCTCCGGCCGGACTCCGTATGGAAAAGTCCGACATCAACATCCTCCCATCGGGCAAGAGGTGAGAGGTCAGAGGCCGCGTCCTTTCTCTGTGCCTGGTTTATGGAGCTCAGGTACTTTGAAAAGCTGCCGGGGGTCCCGAGCCAACGACTCAGCGTCCAGCTACTTACACAGTAATGTTAGGCAAGTCATTTAACCTCTCTGAGCCTCAGTTTCTCATCTGTAAAATGGGGACAGTAACCTGCTTGGAAACATGTGACTAGAACTTTGCTCTTCACATGGGTATTTACGCAGCGGCATATTTGTTAGCCCTGTTTTAAGGCTGAAAAGCTCACTTGTTAGCCCTGTTTTAAGGCTGAAGGGAAGGAGGCTCAGAAGGTGTCATTGACTTGCCCAACATCACACAGCAAATTTGGGGCGGTTGCATTTCTCTTGACTACAGCAGGACCAAATGAAAAAAATGGGTGCCGAAAGGTAACTTGTACATATAAAGTGCTGTACACGTATTTAAAATGCTATTTTTAAAAAGACTATGTGCAGCCCTAGCCTTCACACCCATTCAGATTGTATGGAACCAAATGGCTGGCTTATCAGTTAGGTCTCAGCTCCAGTGTCATCCTCCCTTCCCCCAGAAAGGACTTCCCTGAGCACCTTAGCTAAAGTTTCCCTCCATCCCCAGTTCACTCTCGGTTACCCAGTATTGGGGCCTTTGTAACCTTCATTATCTGATATATCCTCGTTTGTTTGTTTACATGTTTATTGTGTTATGTCCCCCAGAACAGTGCTAATACACAGTAAGTGTTCAGTAAATATTGTCTGAATAATTGAAGAGCCATGCCTCTACTGTCTCCTTAAACCTGTGATCCTCTCCATAGGCCCCTCTTTGGAAGAAGAGCTGGGAAATACAGTCCAGCCTCAAGCCGCAACGTAGTTGGAGCTTGAGGGGCTGGGAGCCTGCTGTACGCAGCCTTGCAGAGAAGTATTTTGACCTTGGCATCTAGACATCTCCCATCTCCCCCATGGCCCTGACAATGCTGAATGAGCTCTTCATTGAGGACCCACGCCCACCTATGCTGCTGTACCAGGTTAGCAAGACTGCCAAGTTAGACACCCTCAACTATCAGAGCTACTTCATGCAGGACATCTTTGCCCATTTCCCTGATATCTTATTTATCCACCGGACCTATAACCCAGTGGGCAAGGTGTTATATGCCTTCCTGGTGGATGGCCCTCAGGTGCAGCTGGAGGGTCATTTTGCCCGGATAGTTTACTTTGCCATTCCTGCCACGGAGGATGCTGAAGGCCTGACCCAGATGTTCCAGACATTCAAGAAGTTTAACCCAGCCTGGGAGAAAGTCTGTACTATCCTGGTCGATCCCTTCCTCCTCCCTATGCCCACCCTAGCTATGGAGTTCCCCGCAGCTGAGGTCCTGCCCTCAGCCTTCCACATCTGTAAGTTCTTCCAGGGCAAGTTCTACCAGCTTTCCCTCGAACAGCCTGTGAAGCAGGTGCTCCTGACCGCCCTGCAGAGCACAATGTGCTCGGCCACTGCTGGCAATCTGAGGAAGTTCTGTGCACTCCTGAGCAACTTCGTCCCCCCAGAGCAGCTGACCAAGCTACACTTATGCTGGCTGCTCAATGACCGCATCTGGCTGGCCCACCGTTGGAGAAGCCAAGCCGAGAGCAGCCACTACTTCCAGGGCCTGGAGGTCACCATCCGCATCCTCAGCCAGTTCTTTGGCACCACCCCATCTGTGGAACAAGGCATAACCTCCTTGCTCCGGTTCGTGCAGCAGAACTCTGGAGACAAGGCCATCTTCAGCCTGGGCCTGAGTCCCCGGAGCAGTTGTGCCCCCTCGGACGTCAGCCCCCAAAGCCCCAAAGTGGAACAGTTGGCAGAAGCCTGCATCCAGCACTCCCTCCACACCATCTGCACAGAGCCAGCAGCCCAGCTCTGCCTGGGTGAGCTTGCCGTGGTCCAGAAATCTGTGCAACTCATTGGCTCTGGCTCTGAAAAAGTGAACATACAAATCCTGGAAGACACCCATCGCGTGCAGCCCCAGCCTCCTGCCAGCTGCAACTGCTCCTTTAACCAGGCCTTCCACCTGCCCTGCCGCCACATCCTGGCCATGCTCAGTGCCCGGCTCCAGGTGCTCCAGCCCAATATGCTGCCACCTCAGTGGACAGCAGACTCTGCTGCTAGTCTGGATGACATCCTGGGCAGCAAGTGGAGTGAGACCCTGGATAAGCACTTGGCTGTGGCTCTCCTCACTGAGCAGGTGGGCCAGCTCTTACAACACTGCACCCAGGAGGTGTTTGAACAGCGGTACAGCACCCTGCGGAAACTGGCCGACATCTGGATCGGCCCTTATGAGCAGGTCCAGCTGTGACTGCCTGTGCTGAGATGCTCACACACAGGCACACACACCCTCCCTGCACACACACTCACACTGTTGTACAATACTTCCCTGAACCCTCCCTCCAGGACAAAACAGGTCTTCGATTGCCTCCTGCTACCTACAATATGTCTAGTTTTCTAAGACGGGAGTCAGCAAACCTTTTCTGCAAAGGGCCCGACAGTAACTATTTTAGGCTTTGCTGGCCATATACAGTCTATTGTACTTGGTTTTGGTTTTGTTTGTTTGTTTGTTTACACCCTCTTGAAAAGATAAAAACTATTCTTAGCTCAAGGGCCTCACAAAAACAGGTGGGCCCTGCTCTGAGATAAGAGGAAACTAGGACAAGTTTTCCCCAGTCCCGAGATAACTCCGGACTCCCAGAGGAAGAGGCTCCTCAGAGGAGCTGGTGCAGCCAGGTTCCCAGTCTTTTTACTCCCCCTGTCCCATCCTGAGGTCATTAAAGTTGAATGTTGCCTACTTTAGCACTCGTCTAGTTTTTTATCTTGCGGAAGGCTCTTTAGGAAATGTCGTGGAAAGAATAGAGATGTTGGAGTCCAGTGCTGCCTGCAAACCTTACTTGCCTGAGTCTTGAGACCTGCCTGTTACCGGCTATGGGACTTCAGGCAGGCCACCTCTCTAAGCCCCAATTTGTTCATCTATAACAATGAAGGTCCTCGCAGCCCTGGTAAGATTAGAGGAGAGGGCATATAATGGGCCTGACGCCCAGTGGGTGCTCACGTTAGTATTAATTTTCCTTCCTTGCCTGTGGTCTCATCACCTGCCTTCAGCAGGCTGGGAAATGTGAGGCAAGAGGAAATTCACATTGCCTGTGATTTTGTACAAGAAGTTTTGGTCAAGACCCAAAACAATACAGAAGAAGCCTCCACTCTCCAAGCAGGGTCCCTGCCTCAGGTCATTTTCATTATAATTACTCTGGCAAGACCTGTCTCCTGGCTTCGTCGCATCTAGAGAAACTTCCTGGGGTCTGGGCCCTGATGAAGAACTGGTATTCATCTGAGTGGCTCAATCACCCACCCTATCCCCATCCCTGCCATAGGCACCCCCAACCCTATCTGCCCAAAAACCATACGGAGAAGCCACCCTATGTGTCTGATGCTATTTCATCAGCTACAAGCAGGAGCCAGGAGGCTGGCCCCTCCTGGATCTCACTAGGGGCATGTGCCCAGAGGCTGTGTGGGCATGCACCTGCCCCCACGGCACCCCCTCCACAGCCCCCTCTGGCTCTGGATGGGCCATCATGAAAGCTTGAGCCGCCCGGATTAGGTCCTCTTCCCGCAGGCCTGGGACTGGCACGGTGGGGATGCCGGCAATCATCATGGCCAGGGTAAGGATGCAGATGTCGGGCGGGGAGCCGGCCTCCTTTCCCCCTGCCGCAGAGGGCTTTGGCACAACTCCAGGTGATAGCCCACACAGTAGGAGGGGCCCAGGCCTGCTGGAGCCACCCAGGTGGGGAGCTCTGCTTCTGGAGCAGCCATCCTCCCAGCCCAAGCTCTCCGGCTGCTTCACAGGGGGGAACTTGTGGCAGTATCGGCCGTACTCCTTCTGCCGTAGTGTCTCCCAGCTAGGCCCCCCGGGGCAGCCCCTGGCTTCCGGCACTGCCAGAGTTGGGCCCCAGGCCTGGATACCAGGTACCACCTGCTCAGTTTTCTGGTTCAGTTGGCCTCGTCCACCAGAGGCCACCACCACTGGCTCTACAGGACTATAGGGGCCAAGAGATGAGCCTCTAGAAGCAGTCTCACCTGCAGAGACAGGAATGAGATGGACTATTATTCTTGATCTCTCTGAGAGGGAGGCCCTGAGGGGCAGGGCATAGGAGCAGAGCACTGGGAACAGGAGCAATGAAGGGCAGCCAAAGAGGGTTATCTAATGTTTGGGAACTAATGATTATCTCCAACTCTAAGTGATGGAGAAGTGTGTGTTGAATGAGTGAGTGAGCAAGTGGGTAGCTATTGGCAAGCACTTTGAGAATGGAATTTCTTGGAAAAGAATTGACTTTGAGGGCCAGCCCCAAAAAGCTTAGCAGAAACCTCCACCTCCCCAGAGCCAGGAAGCAAGTTCTCAGGGGAAATTATAGCCAGTCCAGTTCCCAGAGCCCCTCTCACCTTGGCCGGAAGACAGAAGACCTCGATGGGTTTGTGAGGACATGAAATAGGACATGGCTCCCCCAGAGCGCCTGTTTGTGAGGAAATAGCTGTCTGCCCCCTCCTGCCCTCCCCACCCTTCTAGAATGTCACCTCATAGTCTCTCCCTTCTGTACCTGGAACCTACCTCACAACACTGCCTGTTCATTCTAGAACCTCTATAAGACAATGGTTAAAGGAGCACTAACCAGGGTCTGGGCATTCTAGGTGCTTGCCTTTACCTTGGGCGAGTCTCCCGGACAGTTTTGTTCCTTGGGATCCTCATCTGTACAGCGGGGGTAATGACTGCCCACTACCTCACCAGAAGTTGTGAGAACTAAATGAGACCATTTGTATGGAAGCGAATGATCAGGAATACAAATAATGGAGTCTGGTGCTTTGTGGCTGTAGCGTGAGAGAAGGAATTCTCTGCATCGATTCATTTCCTGACTGACCTCTGGCCTTCAGATTCCCACCAACAAGATGAAATAGTTGGTCTAGGGTTGCACATTAGTTTCCCTTGGGAACTTTTAGAAATCCTGATGCCCACTCTCATCCCAGCCCATTTAAGGCAGAATTCTAGGGCTCAGACCCAGTTATTCGTCTTTTTCAAAATTCCTCAAGTGGTTATATGTGCCAAAGTTGAGACCTCTGTTCTTCTCCACTCTGGCTGTACATTAGAATCTCAAGGGGAAGCTTTTACAGAAATTATCTCTAGGCCCAAACCTCCAGCAAATCTAGGAATCTCTAGAGATGGAGTCTATACACTGATGAGTAGCCAGGCTAGGAACCACTGGTCTAGATGATGTCTAAAGTGCTCTCTCTTGCTCTGGCCAATGTGGCTCAGTGGGTTGGAGCATCATCCTGTACACTAAAAGGTGGCAGGTTTGATTCCCAATCAGACCACATACCTGGGTTGCGGGTTCAATCCTTGGTCAGGGTGCACGCGGGAGGCAACCTATTGAAGTGTGTCTCTTTAAAAATTTAATGAATTTTTAAAATAAAATATGTTTTCTCTTCCCCTGTTCAGGTAGCTCAGGTGGTTAAAGAATCATCCCTGCCGAAACCGGTTTGGCTCAGTGGTAGAGCGTCAGTCTGCGAACTGAAAGGTCCCGGGTTTGATTCCGGTCAAGGGCATGTACATTGGTTGCGGCACATCCCCGGTGGGGGGTGTGCAAGAGGCAGCTGGTCGATGTTTCTCTCTCATCGACGTTTCTGGCTCTCTATCTTTCTCTCTTCCTCTCTGTAAAAAAAAAAATCAATAAAATATATTTAAAAAAAGAATCATTCCTGATACACCAAGTCACTCTGATACACCAAGGTTGTGGGTTCAGTCCCTAGTTGGGGCACACACAGGAATCAACCAGTGGATAAACAAATAGGTGGAATAACAAATTAATGTTTCTGTCTCTCCCCCTTCCCCTGTGAAAAATCAATGAATGTTTATTTATTTTAAAAATATTTTTATTGATTTTAGAGAGGAAGGGAGAGGGATAGAGAGATAGAAACATCAATGATGAGAGAGAATCACTGATTGCCTGCCTCCTGCACGCCTCCTACTGGGGACCAAGCATGCAACCCAGGCATGTGCCCTTGGCTGGAATTGAACCTGGATCTCTTCAGTCCACAGGCCAGCGCTCTATCCGTTGAGCCAAACCGGCTAGGGCTGAATGAATTTTTAAAATAAATAAAAATAAAATGCTGTCTCTTGCTCTGACGTGCTAACCAGCCCACAGTCATTCTAAAAGAAGTGCTCCTCACAGGCTGCAGGGGCCAGGAGACCCTTTAATGATCAGCACTGGCTGTGTTTATTTCTTGTTCGGGCTCACAGCAGGATGGCCATTCAGACCAGCCACAGCTCTGGGGCCAGGACGCGACCTTGGCCCCTGCTCCAGGGCAGCTGCAGGCCTTCACTCATACTTGCAGAAATCCTTAAGTCCTTTGGGCAGGTGGAGCCCATCAATGGCCAAACGGTGCACCACGCTCCTCTGGATCACCAGGCGGCACAGGGTCTGCAGGGATGGCACTGTGGAAAGAAGATGGTCAGAGGCAACCTGAGCAGAAGGGTAGGTCTAAAGATCTAGGTCTTGGTTGTCCCCCCACCCCCTTTGTCATTAAGTTGAGCAACTCCCTTCTACTCTCTATCGATTGATCCCTCGTGACTCATGGGGCTGTACTTGTGCTTGAGATAAGCACCTCTTTCACAATTCTTTCACAATGCTGCAGCCCTATTTCTAGTGTAACACTCAGTACCCTCCCTCCCCCTCCCCCCCCACTTAGCAGCTTCTGGGGGCAGGGATAGTTTCTGATTTAGCTGTGCAACTCTAGCCTCAAGCACAGAGTGGGCTCTGGTTCACTGAATACATAAAATGTGATCAGAGGTCCAAATAAAGGATTTATCGGGGCTCTAATGAACCAAATCTCAGGATTAAGAAGCTCTCAATCTGGAGTCTGTGATGTCTTTAAACTGGTATGCCCAAATCCAGGAACATTATTTTAATAAAAGAGCACACAACTCTCAAAAAGGCCCTGAATCTAAAATCAGTTCGGATTAATACAGAAAATAATATCAAAGCCAGAGGGAACTTGGAAGGCATCCTAATCAGTCACAGCCAAGACGGTAACTGAGGCCCAGAGCTAAGGAACGACTTATCCAAGACCACAAGCAGTGGCATAATATGGGGTCAGATTCCCCGCCTTTTAAATTAATGCTGGACAGACCAAGGCCTTGAGCTGGCTCGGAAGCCTAGCAAGTTCAGGTCCCACACTGGGCCAGGAGGGGTCGCTATCTAGGAGGTGGGATACCTACAGCCATACTCAAGCTGGACCAGGCGCACGCTCTTAGTGGAGGCAAACACGTCCACCACTGCGTAGAGGGGCTGGGCAGCTGGCAGCCCCCGGGCGCTGGGGCCCATGTCCTCGCCATTGATGACGATGTGCATGTCGGCTGTGCCGTCCGGGCGTGGGCAGAAGAGAACGCCCAGGCGGCTACGGCGCGCGGTCGGAGGCAGCACGTTCAGCTCATAGAGCTGGTCCAGGAGGTGGCTGTAGAGTCCGGGCCGACTGCGGCCCACCAAGCGGTCGCGGGGAATGCGAAACTGCTCAATGCACAGATACGGTTCCACCAGGAGGGCTGGGGGTCGGCAGGGGACCGCTGCCTCTGCAGCCGGGCGGCCCTCCCGGGGCACGCGGTTGTGGTGGCGCGTGATGGCGAAGACCCAGGTGTGGCCGAGGCTGACCAGGTCAGGCAGCGAGAACTCAGGCACGGGCGCCAGACTGGCGGGGTCCAGCGCAGTCAGGCCGAGGCGCAGGTGGCCGCACCAGCCCAGCTCTTTCTCCTCGATCTCGACCAGAAATATCTGGCCCGGGGCCAGCGGCTCGCGACTGAAGCACACGCCGTGAGCGAAGCTCTCCACGCGCGTGGCCCGCGTCCCAGAGGGGTCCACGCGGATGTTGGCGCCGTGCACCCGGTGGAAGCGGGTGGGAGAGGGCTCGGGGCGCGCGGGCCCCCAGGGCGCACCCAAGTCCATGGGGTCGGAGACAGCAGCCATCGCCCCGCCATGAGCCAGGCCTGTGGGCGCCGGGGACTATTTTGGGCAGCTGGCTCAGAAGGTGACCGCGGAGGAATGGAAGGTATTCCCCCCTACACTCGCCCCGGAGCCTCTGTCCGGGGGGTCCTAGTGCCGCTTCATTAAGCCATTCCGCCTCAAACCGCCCCGTGGAAGGCTGGGGGGGATCCTGGCAGTCCAAACCCAGTCATCTGATCACGGGCACCAGAGATGTGACCTTGGAGGCCCCCGCCCCGCCCTTCCCGGGTCGGCATTCCCTGCCGAGCCGCGGGAGGCTGTCACGTGACGCCAGAGCACACGTGACGCGGCGCACACATGACTTCCCGCCGCCCGACAGCTCACGGAGAACAAGGACGCGGGGGAGCAGAGGTGAGGGGACGCCGAAGGCGGGGAGGGATCCCGGACCCCCCGGCGGCGCGCGGAGCGAGCGGGGGAGGCCGGGCTGGGAGCAGGGGCTGGGGAGCGCCGCCAGCTCCTCCCCGGGGACGGCTGCCCGCAGCCCGGCAGCCAGTGAACAGCCGGCGCCCGCTTCCTCCCCAGATGGTCCGAGCCGCGCCGTCGCCGCTCTTCTTCCCGCTGCTGCTGCTGCTGCTCGGGTCGCCCCGAGGCGAGGCAGCCCCCGATCAAGACGAGATCCAGTGTCTTCCCGGGCTGGCCAAGCAGCCATCTTTCCGCCAGTACTCGGGCTACCTCAAAGGCTCGGGCTCCAAGCATCTCCACTACTGGTCCGCGGCTCTCCCTCCCAGGGCGGGGGGAGGAGGGAGCACAGTGATGCCCCCCCTGGGGAGAGGACGCGGGGTGGGGGTTCTGAAGATTCCTGAGGGAGCCTTAGCAGCAGGGAGGTCTGGAAGAGGCCCCTAAACCTGCACCCACTCAGGCCTGACCCCTCCCTCCCAGGTTTGTGGAGTCCCAGAAGGATCCCAAGAGCAGCCCTGTGGTGCTCTGGCTCAATGGAGGGCCGGGCTGCAGCTCCCTAGATGGCTTCCTCACCGAGCACGGCCCCTTCCTGGTGAGTGGAAAGCAGCCCTCTCCTCCATGACCCAGGGATAGGAGAGGAAGGGGACATTCCCAAAGAAAAGGGACTTTGGTTTTCCCCCCCAAAATGTGCTTTTTCTGAGCCTTACTTTATCTGTACCATCGGCTTGACATGGTGGCTAATCAGCCATATCTTTCCTCCTCAGATCCAACCAGATGGTGTCACCCTGGAGTACAACCCCTACTCTTGGAACCTGGTAGGGGCAGGGGCGGTGCTGTGGGTCCTGTGGGATGTCTGGGCACTTGGTCGGGTGTGGCGCTCTCTGCAGCTGTTTCCTCATCCCTTCTAGATTGCCAACGTGCTGTACCTCGAGTCCCCAGCAGGGGTGGGCTTCTCCTACTCCAAGGACAAGTATTATGCGACCAATGACACTGAGGTGAGCCCTGCACCTGCCCGTGTGCCCAGCCTCCCTGGTTTTCTAAGGGTGGCATGGTACAGGCAAAGACC